TTATCATGATTGAAAAAGACTCGTTGCTACTATGCATGTACCTCTAGGGACCACGCGAATTGGGGTATGTACTCGGAGCAGAAAATTACTCCTCTGCAAATCTTTAACACGAGCATAGTGAGTAGATTTTATTTTCACAGAAATGTCTTAGGACTAACTGTCAACTATGTATCAAAGAGCGTTCTCAGTCTATCCCCAAGCAGACTTCAGATGACCAAAATATTTTTCAGTAACAAGGCGACAGTCCCGATTCTCATAGTGAAGTCTATTCTCGCGCTGGAAGCGATCGAGAGTGTGAACTCGTTTGATATACCTTTTGAGCATCGCCGCTGAACCCACCAACAGAATCGCAACAAATCTGAAAAAAACCATTGCGTACGAGTTGACCATTACTTTTCCATGTTGAGTTTTTCTGAAAGATAATCAAGACTACTGAGCCACGAAAAAAAAACTTGTTGATCGGTGGATTAACTGATCGGTGTTTCCTAGCACCTCAAGGTACTTTTCAGGAATAAACTGCTACTGCGCTCTTTACACCCTCTACTAATAAGTTTGAAAGAGTATTTATTGTTGATCAACCCTTGTGACGCTTGCTTGTTACTCAGTTACAGAAATTGTCAGAAACCCGAACTGTGCCTTCACGTATTCCCATGGCCAAAAATTTAAGGTTCTGCCCTTCTCAATGCAAATGAAAGGTCGTTCTTAATCTTACAAGTAAGATGTGTAATAGTAATAGCTGTCACTTGAACTGTTCCAAAGTTCAATCAACGAAAAATTTGAGTACTTAGATAGTCTGACAATTCAAAGTATTATAGAAGATCGAGAAGATCGATTCTCGTCGTATCGTTGAACGATCTCGTCAAGTTTGTGGGGAAAACTACTCACTTACTGCTTATCGGAGACTCGATTGTGTTTCTTTTTGCCTTTCTGTTACTTTCTTTGATTTCCGATAATAATTCATAATCATAATCACTTATAGCAGTTCTCAAGCGACTCAGTAGGAATGGCGTTTTGGCGTTTGTCTGTTTTTTCAATTTCATGTGTTCAACATGACAAAAAATAGTAAAATTTTTCCAGATGGGCTTCTCTTGATTGGCATTCCTTAGTTTGCAGAAAAAAGCGGTTACTTTTCTGAACGTCTTTCTTTGAATATGTAAAGGTATAAACAGAGACCCCACCACCAGTGGATACCGCTCACTGATAGTTCACTCCGCTTTAGTACGCAGTCTTTTCGAAACAAAAAGCTGGGACGTCAAAGCATTGAGGCTTTGGCCAATTAATAGGCAAAAGTTAGACAAAAACAACATTTCAAGCAAATACCGTTTCCCAGTGAATACCAATAAATGAAAAGTCATACTTACGAAGAAAAAAATAGCTCGACGGATGCAGCGAGCTTCTGACCAGTCAACGTAGTTGGTAGAAAATAATAGAATACCATAACCAACAGCGCACTAGGCGTGAGAGCCCAAATACTGATTATGACACATGCAAACATCACTATCTGGAAAATTGCCAGCATTTCATTCCAACATATCATTGCCCTCGATGCAAAACAACATGTACTGTACTCGATGGGATTACATGCCCCAATGACAATTCCGACAAAGATGTGTGACTGACCTTAAGAACTCGTAGATTCTCGATAATTTGAAATCTCGTGCTTAGATAGCGGCCGGTTTGAGGGCCCACGATGAAGTCGGTGAGTCGACGTCGTTCGCGTCGAAACAGAATCACATGAGCGGTAGAGGCAACAGCAAATATCCCCAACGCATTGATTACCACTTTATCGACCCCTACCACACCTGAAGTGTTTGGGTATTCCTTTCACTCTTCTTTTTAATGAGAACAAAGGTAATGCTGTAATGTAACGAGAACTGTCGGCAGTCCCTTTGTGATAGATACCGATTTCACAAACCTTTGAATGCACATTTTTCCTCAGTATCTGTTTAGGGAAGATGCTTAATTTTACGATATAATATCAGTTAGGGCAGAAATGGCAAAAGGCGCAGTGCATATCCCACACGCATTGTCACGGGTTCGAATCCTGGGATATGCACCTAGGTCAACCAAGCCTAAGCCTTCCATCCCTCCGGAATCGGTGAATTGGTTCCAGAATCGTATGGGAGGATAAAAGCAATGACTTGTACATCGGCTGGCCACCGCAAGTCATTGTATAGGCCACATACGCACTCATTACTATTCTGAATGGAAGTCGATTGCGGGGACGCATCCCTCGGACGGGACTGATTAACGCCAGAAATTTTATCATTTTAATCTTCACTTTCTGGAGGTGGTGCAACTCAGTGCTGATTTCAGCCCTTCTAATTAATTTTGAGGCTGGAGAGTGAAATTCAAACCAGGGGGGGGGGTTGAATTAAGGTGGCGGTGAACATGGGTGGCGAACT